GTCCAAGGACGATCATTCACAGGCAATCATTGCATGAGCAATAACATGCAATCAGCCGTGAATAACTGCATCTGAACACTTTTTTTTTTTTTAAGTATTTTCTGTAAACCCGCATGCAGGGTTAGGCAACATGTTCCCTCACTCCCTGGTACTCCACTCAGCCTCTGGAAGCAAGGAAAGGAACAGAATTAAAGAGTGGTGCAGGCTTTGCCCCTGCGCCACTGCTCTAACCTGAGGGAAAACCTTTGTTGATTAGGAGCAATCTGCTCCTGGTTCAGCTGGAGGTGCATACTCTGATCCACCACCCGTCCCTCCATTCAGCTAAATGCGGGAGGGAAGAAGTCTGTTACCTCTGCAGGCCCTCCTCACTGTACAAGCAAAGAAAGGGATGTGGGTTGCTTGCTGACAGTTCACATCCTGTACTTCAGGTCCAACCTGATGTTGATCTGTGGCAGTTTTCTATATTGAAAACTGTTGTTAGGTCCTTTGTTAGGCTCCATGCACACTGGTGTTTTAATAACGCTGGTAATGTTAGCTGTGTAAAGTCACATTAAAAATGTGCGTTTTTCAGCGGTTTTTAGTGTTTTTGGCGTTTAGCAGTGTACTGCTGCGTTTATTTTTGCTGAAATAAAATGTCCAAAAAAAACGCCGGTTTGCTGTGTTTTTCAGCATTAGAGCGTTTTAACAGCCAAAAAACTCCTCTACAAACCCACTAGTTCTGGGGGGTTTTTCCAGCCTAAAAACCCTGATTACAGTCTATGTGTGCATGGACACATAGGATAACATGCTGGGGAGTTTACTGGCTGTAGAAAAAAAAAAAACGCCAAAAAAGGCCGCTGTAAAAATGTCCAGTGTGCATGAGGACTTAAAGTTGAAGTTTAGGTGTGACAATTTTTACAGACTTACAAGTACAGTATCTCACAGAAGTACAGCCCTTACATTTTTGTAAATATTTTTTTTAGATCTTTTCATGTGACAGCATGTGTTGAGTTATTTTGAGGGGACATCAAATTTACACTGTTATACAAGCTGTACACTCACTACTTTACATTGTAGCAAAGTGTCATTAATACAGTGTTGTCACATGAAAAGATAGAATAAAATATTTACAAAAATGTGAGAGGTGTACTCACTTCTGGGAGATACTGTATGTATGTGCCATACCTGTGGAATCGCTCTGTAAGCTGGAAATCACTGTAGTAGGCACCTCTACTACAGTGATCTCCACTAGCTTCTGGGTCCTGTGCCAAACAGCTGCCCTGCTGCACTGTGAACACAGGAGGTCACTCATTCAGCATGGGCACCATTCGGAGGGAACTTTGCTTTTTTTCCATCAATTCAAAGCATTCTCCAATTGGACAACCATGCCATGATCTCCACATTACCCAGAGAACACATATGGGGTGATAAACTAAAACTGGAGAGTGCAAAATCTGGTGTAGCTGTGCATGGTAGCCAACCAGCTTCTAACTTTATCTTGTTCAATTTAGCTTTGACAAACAAACCTGGAAGCTGGTTTCTATTCAGAGCTGAACCAGATTTTGCACTTTCCAGTTTTGTGTTTTTAAAAAAGTGCAAAGTGTTCTCTAAATGGCACCCGCGTCAGGCAAGCGGCCTCCTGTGTTCAATAGGCAGCACAGCAGCTGCTTGACACAGGAACAGTGCCTACTGCACTGATTTCCAGCTTACAAAGGGATCTCACAGATATGCCACATGCATATCTACACTGCTCCAAAAAATTAAAGGAACATTTTATTTAGAGTACAGCATTAAGTCTTAAACTCCTGGGATGTTGATCTGGTCAGTTAAGTAGCAGAGGGGGTTATTAGTCAGTTTCAGCTGCTTTGGTGTTAATGAAATTAACAACAGATGCACTAGATGGGCAACAATGAGACGACCCCCAAAACAGGAATAGTTGGAATAGGTGGAAGCCACTGACATTTTTTTTCCCTACTCATCTTTTCTGACTGTTTTTTTCACTAGTTTTGTATTTGACTAGGGTCAGTGTAACTACTGGTAGCATGAGGCGATACCTCAACCCTACAGAGTTTGCACAGGCAGTCCAACTTCTCCAGGATGGCATATCAATACGTACCATTGCCACAAGGTTTGCTGTGTCTCCCAGCACAGTCTCAAGAGCATGGAAGAGACACCAGGAGACAGGCAGTTACTCTAGGAGAAAAGTTAAATAACAGCAAACAAATTGCAGCGCTATCTATACATGCATCTTAATGGTATAGCAAAAAAAGATTAATAAATGCACATAAGTGGCAGCAAAGTCCATACGGGATTCACATATGCAGGCAGAAGCTGGTGCATAAAGAAAAAAGCCAGATCCAGAAAGAAGACCATCATCTTCCACCAAAAATAATTGGCCTCTTAGAAGGTTTGACTGCCCAAAGGATCAGCCAAAATATGCAGCAAGTATATCCAACTGATACAGCACAAGGTCCTCAGTGCAGACTGCTCCCGGTATAATCACAGACACTTCTCCAGGTTATAGATACTCAGTAGCAAACTGCTGTGTCTAGCTGCTCTCCTTTCCTCTTCAGTCTGTGAGCTGTCTCTACTCCCTTCTACACTCATTGAATCTGGCTGTCAAACCCCAGTGTGATGTCATGCTTGTGACTCTAGGAGAGCTGGACAGGGACGTAGAAGGTCCTTAACCCATCAGCAGGACCGGTATCTGCTCCTTTGTGCAAGAAAGAACAGGATAAGCCACTGCCAGAGCCTTACAAAATGACCTCCAGCAGACCACTGGTGTGAATGTCTCTGACCAAACAATCAGAAACAGACTTCATGAGGGTGACCTGAGGGCCCGACATCCTCTAATGGGCCCTGTGCTCATTGCAAGGAACCATAGAGCTCAATTGGCATTTGCCATGGAACACCAAAATTGGCAGGTCCGCCACTGGCGACCTGTGCGTTTCACAGATGAGAGCAGGTTCACCCTGAGAACATGTGACGGACATGAAAGGGTGTGGAGAAGCCGTGGAGAACGTATGCTGCCTGTAACATCGTTGAGCATAACCGCTTTGGTGGTGGGTCAGTGATGGTCTGGGGAGGCATATCCATGGAAGGACAAACAGACCTCTACAATGGCACCCTGACTGCCATTAGGTATCGGGATGAAATCCATGGACCCATTGTCAGACCCTACACTGGTGCAGTGGGTCCTGGGTTCCTCCTGGTGTATGACAATGCCTGGCCTCATGTAGCTAGAGTATGCAGGCAGTTCCTGGAGGATGAAGGAATTGAAACCATTGAATGACCCCCACGTTCACCTGACCTAAATCCAATAGAACACCTCTGGGATATCATGTTTCAGTCCATCCGACGTCACCAGGTTGCACCTCAGACTGTCCAGGAGCACAGTGATGCCCTGCTCCAGATCTGGGAGTAAATACCACAGGACACCATTCGCCGTCTCATTAGGAGCATTCCCCAACATTGTCAGGCATGCATACAAGCACATGGGGGCCATACAAGCTACTGAGTACCATTTTGAGTTGCAATGAAGCTTCAGCAAACTGAACTAGCCTGCTGCATAATTTTTTCACTTTGATTTTCAAGGTGTCTCTGAATTCAGGCTCCCACCAAAAAATTAAAGTCAGCGGCTACAAATACTGTAGCTGCTGACTTTTAATATAAGGACATTTACCTTACCAGGGATACAGCGATGTCTACACTCGAGCCAATTCTTAAATCAGCTTCAGATGCAGGAGCTGACACCTTGAGTAAGGGAAACCGGAAGTGAAGCCTTGCAGCTGCATGTCCAGGTTCCTAGTGCGCTGCACTTTGTGAATGGTCCTGCAGTCTTCTGGAACCTGTGAAGTGTCCCAGAGGCTGTGGGGGAAAGGGGAGGGACAAAATTCTGCCATAGATTGCTGAGGCGCATGTGACCGGAAGTGGGAGCGGTACCTGTCAAAACCAAATTCCTGCTCTCTTTCTCCCCCCTAAACATACCAAATATGGCGGGGGGGTGGGGGATGCAAACAAGCAGACCTTCCCCTTTTGGGTGAAGTTCTGCTTTAATGTGGCAGGTCACTTGCACCCGTTTCTTTTGTTGTTCTAATGGTGCAAAAAAATTTAATTAAAGCGGATCTTTACCCTCTTAAAGTTCCCTCCACTCCTCCTCTACATGAATAGCACTGTATTTGTTTTGTTTTTTTTTTTAAAGAAAAGTGTCCAGCCCTGCCCCCCCATGCATGTCACTCGCCTAGGCAAATTATGTGCACAGTGCTCATTGGTTCATGCACTTCATATATTCCAGGACGCATAGTGTTTAATTTACAAAGGAGGAGTGGCACATCATAGAGAGGCCCGCCCACTGAACCTGGAAGAGTCAGTGGGCCTCTCAATGATGTCACAAACAACATGGCGGCAAGGGACACAGCGGTGGCAGAAGATGAGGAGATCTCAGTGGGACAACACAGGATTTGCTGGCTGGGTGAGTATTTCAAATGTGTAGAACCCACCCAGTAAGCAGGGGTAAAAAAAAATGTGGGGGTGAGGTGTTCAGGCAAAGATTCGCTCTTATTGCCCAGCTTGTATATAAGCTCCGAATCCTTCTAATCAGAGCTTACACAGGGCTGAGGACTCTTGTCTAACCCCACACGTGACACTGCTGGATAATTAGTCCAGGGAACAGGAGTGAGTTACATGACCCCCATACCTGTGCCAACTATGGGGGGGGGGGGGGCTCTGTTGCTGTGCTCTCCTCAGCCACATGCACGATCTGTAGCAATGTAGAGCATGGCTATGCACACGTGAGGTGTGGACTTCCACGGTAAACCCCCTACAAGCCAGCTATGACAAACATGGTGACTCCAATGTAGACTGAGGTAGGACAGTGTGTGTCACAGCACGCCTTATGTGTCATACTTGCCGTAAAGCCAACATACAAGTTTTTGCAGCCTCTGCCCGTCCAGGACTAAACCCCACAATAATGTTCTATATAACAGACCACACATGCCCGTGTCAGGTGTAGCTCGCCTCACCTTGTAGCTCGCCATCCTCTTCCTGACTTCCTCAGCGGCTTCTGGTTTGTTTTGTTAGCCAACAATCTCCCCAGTAACGCGCACCCACAGCCTCGTACATGCGCAGTAACCA